TTCTTTAATAGTCACTTACCTACCTATAAGGTTTACGATCTATATGAGCCTTACTATCTATACATTAGATAGTTCTCTAAGTCCTTTGAACACTAAGAACTATATAGTCTAATAGATAATATAAGTTAGTTACGAAGGAAGTATAAACTATCTAAGAATAATGAGAGTATATATATAACACTAGTGCTCTATAGGCTCTATACGCTCTACGCGCGCTACTAGCAGAGCTAATAGAGTTAATAGAGCTAATAGAGTATATTACGTAATCTAGTCTTATTCTCTCGTAAACTATTCTACATATTTAATAAATATAGTGAGCCGTGCCCGTATAGCTCGTAACCGGTCCCTTTTAAGGCTATATTTAACACTATTCTTTCTTCGATTAGATCCTTATTCTAAGAATTCGTCTTAGTAATAATATAAAAGCGGAACTACGCCTAGCTTAAAGTTTAATAAATCGTAAGATATCTTCTTCTTCTTTCTCTCTTTCTTCTAACATTCGTAAAGTTTCTCGTTAGCGTATCTCCGAGCGCCGTCTTCTTACCGAAAAGATAAAACGTCTAGGTTTTCGAATTATAGCTTTCTATTTTAACTATAATAAGTCGTCGTTCGTTTACTTTCTACTAAAGAGTAATTCTCACTATAACGAGTATACTCGGAAAAATATAAAATATAATAATTAATATTCTAAAAAGAAGTTTTAGTCTCTAGAGAGAAAGAAAAAGAAGCTAGAAAATCGTTATCGCGAGGTACGCGAGAGAATAATTAAGCGAGCTTAACGACTATTTAATCGTATAATCTAGGTACGCGCCGAGACTACCGAGTTTATAACTAAGTCGGCCGAGTTAGAGCGTCGATTAACCGATTATTAACGGTAAATAGAGAGATATACTCGTACTTAGAGCGATATAGTAGTTTAATAATTCTAGATATTAGATACTCTTAATTAAGAGAAAGACTATACACCGAATAAATCTAAGTTATTACTAGTTTATAACGAGTTTATCTTCGACGATGGGTAGCTAAACGCTTTATTAGCGTTAGAAACTACTTAAAGTAATTCTTTTTTACTTTCTTTAGAAGTTTCTTCGAAAGATTAGTTTTTAGTTCTTAGCTATTCTCGTATTCGTCGTATTCTAATTATTTAATTAGATACTAAGGCTTACTATGTATAACGCGTTTTCTAAGAATTTTCTCTATATTATATTTCTCTAATATTAGTTCTTTATTTAGCGATAGTATCTTTACTAATTTAGCGTTCTTAGATACTAGATTAAAAAGTACTTTATAAAATATATTATATATACGTATATTCTTTAGTAGTTTTAGTCGATATATAACTTCTCTAAGTTTATCTTTAATTCTAAATAATTCTAATTTTATATAATTTAGTTTTTCGCTTAGTCGTTTCGTCTTAATATTTTTCCGTAAAAGATAAACGAAGTTTCTCTTCTCTAGAAGCGGTTTCTCGATTTATTTTTTATTTATATACTTCGCTATTCTTTCTAAGATAAATCTAAGATTTAATTCATCGGTAATTTTTCCCGCGACCTAGAGTATTCCCGAATACCGTGGTGACCTAGCGAGCTCAGCGCCGCTCATGGAACGCTAAGCTAATATCTATAAGAAGCCAAGCCTACTATTAGTTATTAACGCCGCCCTACTATAACTATAAGTGCGCATTATATTACTTAATATATTCTTAATCGATACTCGTAGTTATAAAAGAGCGGATAGTACTAAACAATTCATAGTGTTAGCTATATATCATTCTTTATAGATTTAATAAAGTATTCTATATTTTTAATGTCGTCTATCTATTTCTAAGTGTTTCATCGGCTCTTTTCTACTTCTTAACGCCGTCGCCGTGCTAAGCGCTCCTTACTTTAGCCGCTATCTCTCTAAGAGTAGTGTTAGTTATAATATTACTCTATTAGCGTTAACTAGAAACGCGTTCTTAATTTCTAACTTACTAAATAGGCCTCTATATATTGTAACAGAGCACTTCAGGATTTAGCGTGCACGTGCAACAACGCACAGAGGCCTGTCCAGCAGATCGGGAATCGAGAACGCGTTTCTAGTTGATACTAATAACAACACCACTAACACTATCTAGAGAGGCAGCGGCTAGAGCTACGAACACCTAGTATAGCGGCAGCATCGAGGAACAGAATAGAACTGATAAAACACTCTTAGAATTTAGGTAGACGGCACTAAAAGCCATGAAATTCATAATACTCTGCTTAATCTATAAAAAATGAATGGCACACTGCCAGCACTATAAACTGTTTTACACCTCCTCTCTGCTAGCTCATTTAGATTTAATATATAACTAAATAACTTTTTCATCTTGCCACCGCTCTACTAGCTCAGTATAGCTCATTATAGTATAGCTATCTTATCTTATTATATTCCTCCCTCTCCCATCTATAGAACGACTTCGTCCGACAGTATATAGTACACTTAAGAATTATTTAACTCTATTATTACTTAGAGAGCGGGTCCGTAGCACTATAAGAAGAAACTCGTAACGAAGATAGATTCTTCTCTCTTATTGAGTCTAGAATACGAACTAAAACATCACTAATAGATATAATAAATCTACTCGGTCTATATAAGAACACCGAAGACGCTCTTAATATTTCGCTTTAATAACTATTCTATCTTAGGGTCGAGTCTATTTTTATACTAATATTACTTAGTGACTCTAGGGTTCGCTCTTAGAATCCTCTCTTAACTAACTAAGCAACGCGAGAAAAGAGAGAGTTCACTCTTAGCGTTAAGATTCTATTCTAAGAGTTATTACTATTATATTCTAAATCTATTCTCTCTTCGCTATATAGATCGATATAAGCCTATAATATTTAGTTCGTATTCTCTTAATTAATAAGATTAACAATACTTTCATCTAAAGTAATCATTATAATAGGCTTTAATAGCTACTACTCACTAGTTTCTGCGCGAGACGACTATAATAATAGTATCTTTTCATCTTTAATAATAGCTTAATAAATATTCTAAATGAGTTAAACTCGATGAGAAGTGTCGATTTTGACTTCTTTAACAGCTTTAATACCGTTTTCTATAAGAGCTCTAGTCTAAAAGATAACAAACATTCCGCAATTATAGCTATTTAATTATTTATTAACATTAATATTTTAAAATATAAACTATCTATCGTCTTCGAGCTTTACTCGAACTTAAGAGTTAAGATACTCCAAAATAATCGAAATTATTAAGTCTTTTACCGTGCGCTTTCTAATCGAATTCATAGCGTATACGATTCGAGAATCGGAATCGACGTATACTAACCACCAATGGTTAATCTCTCGATAGAGAATCAGCTTCTTCTATATAAACTTATCTTATCGCTACGATCGCGGCTAGATTATAAACGTAAATATTTCTCGAACGTTATATGAGTAGATTATATTCCATCCGTCTTCCACTTAATGCTTTCGGTAGGCCGCGATATCTTTAATAACGTAATTCATAGATAACTAATCGTTATAATCTATACTAAGTAAAAGATATTCTAATTCTTTCTTATTAATTATACATTCTCCCGAGTAGTAATTCCCGCCGCGAAGAGATTTCTTTACTCCGCGACTATACTCTTTAAATTTCTTTAAAGCGTCTCGAATTCGTTAAATTTCTAACGTATCTTTTTTAGCCTTCACTCTTTCTATAATTCGAATTACTTCGAGGGTAGTGTAACACTAAAGAGATTATCTCGAACTAACATTAGTCGATAATACTTCGATTAATCTTTAAAATACTCGTGTAATAGCTTTAAATTCGTACTAAACCACTTCATCTACTTATCGTTTCGTTAAAGTGTCTTTACCGATATTATACTTAACTCTCTTAGACCAGTTCATAATAATCTCCTATACTAGTCTTTTCACATTAGA